GGAACTAAGATCCCACACATGCTGTGGGGTAGCTAAGCCCACACGCTCCAACTATTGAGCCCGCACACCACAACTAGAGAGAAGCCCGCACACCACAACTAAGACCCAACACAGCCAAAAATAAAATAAATAATTAAAAAAAAAATAACCTGAAAAAAAATACAATAGTCAGAATTAAAAAAAAAAACTCATTGGATGGGTTCTACAGCAGAAAAGAGATGACCAACTTCAATAAGTGGTGCTGGGAAAACTGGACAGCTGCATGTAAAAGAATGAAATTATAACACTCCCTAACACCATACACAAAAATAAACTCAAAATGGATTAAAGACCTAAATGTAAGACAGGACACCAAAAATCTCTTAGAGGAAAACAGGCAGAACACTCTCTGACATAAATTGCAGCCATCTTTTTTGATCCACCTCCTGAAGTAATGAAAATAAAAACCAAAATAAACAAATGGGACCTAATGAAACTTAAAAGCTTTTGCACAGCAAAGGAAACCATAAACAAAACAAAAAACAACCCACAGAATGGGAGAAAATATTTGCAAAAGAAGTGACCAACAAGGGATTAATCTCCAAAGTATACTGTGTTGGCAGAAAGTTCACTCAGGTTTTTCCATAAGATGTTACAGAAAAACCCAAGTGAACTTTTTGCCAACCCAATACAAGCAGCACATGCAGCTCAATATCAGAAAACAAACAACCCAGTCAAAAAATGGGTGGAAGATCTAAATAGACATTTCTCCAAAGAAGACATACAGATGGCCAAAAAGCACGTGAAAAGATGCTCAACATCACTAATTATCAGAGAAATGCAAATCAAAACTACAATGAGGTATCACCTCACACTGGTCAGAATGGCCATCATCAAAAAATCTACAAATAATAAATGCTGGAGAGGGTGTGGAGGAAAAGGAACCCTCCTACACTGTTGGTGGGGATGTAAATTGGTACAACCATTATGGAGAACAGTATGGAGGTTCCTTAGAAAACTAAAAATAGAACTACCATATGATCCAGTAATCCCACTCCTGGGCATATATCCAGAGAAAACCATAATTCAAAAAGATACATGCACCCCAATGTTCACTGCAGCACTATTTACAATAGCTAAGACATGAAAGCAACCTAAATGTCCATCGACAGAGGAATGGATAAAGAAGATGTGGTACATATATTCAATGGAATATTACTCAGCCATAAAAAAGAATGAAATAATGCCATTTGCAGCAACATGGATGGACCTAGAGATCATCATACTAAGTGAAGTAAGACAGAGAAAGACAAATATCATATGATATTGTTTACATGTGGAATCTAAAAAAATGGTACAAATGAACTTATTTAAAAAACAGAAACCAAGTCACAGGTATAGAAAAACTTATTGTTACCAAAGGTGAAAGGCAGGGAGGGATAAATTAGGAGATTGGGACTGACATATACACACTACTATATATAAAATAGATAACTAATAAGGACCTACTGTATAGCACAGGGAATTCTACTCAATACTCTGTAATGGTTTATATGGGAAAATAATCTAAAAAAGTGTGGATATATGTATATGTATAACTGATTCACTTTGCTGTACACCTGAAACTAACACAACATTGTAAAGCAACTATACTCCAATAAAAAAAATTTTTAAAGAAAAAGAAAAGAGATGGCCAAGGAAAGAATCAACAAAGTTAATGATGAATCCACAGAAATTATCCAGTGTGAAAAACAGAGAGGAAAATAATTTTTTAAAAAACAGAGTCTCAAGTATCTATGGGGTAATAACAAAAGGTCAAACACTGGTACCATTGTAGTCACAGGAGGAAAGGAGAATGTGGAACAGAAGATCTGTTTGAAGAATAATAGCTGAAAACTTCTCAAATTTAGTGAAAGATATACTTAGAAATTAAAGATGCTCAGCAAACCCTAAACAAGATAAATTCAAAGAAATCCATGCCTGATACATCACTGGAAAATTCTACCAAACAATTAAAGAAGAAAAACACCAATTCTACACAATCTCTTCCAAAAAATGGAAGAGGAAGGAATACTTGCCAATACATTTTATGAGTCCTGCATTACCCTGATATCAAAATCAAAGAAAACACACACACATAAAAACTACAGTCTAATATTCCTCATGAAAATACATGTAAAAATACTCAATGAAATACTAGTAATTTATATCCAACAATGTAAAAAAAGAATAATACATTTTTGCAATATCTTGGGAATGCAAGGATGGCTCAATATTCAAAAATCAATGGACTAAAGAAGAAAAAGCACATGATCCTATCAATAGACATACAAAAATACATTTGACAAAATATAGCATCCATTAATGATAAGAACTTTCAGTGAACTACGAATAGAAGAGATCTTCCTCAACCTAATAACATGCATCTACAAAACCTATCATTATACTTAATGCTGACTGAATGCTTTCCCCAAATATCAGGAACAAGACAAGGACATCCTCTCTCAGGAGTCCTATTCAACACTGTTTAGAAATCCTAGATAGTGCAGTAAGTCAAGAAAAAAAAAAGGGGCATACAGACTGGAAAAGAAAGAACTAAAATTGTCCCTATTCACTGATAACACGATCACCTATACAGAAAATACCAAGAAACCTACCAAAAAGCTCCTAGTGAGTTTAGAAAGGTTGCAGCATACAAGGTCAACAAACAAAAATCAATCATATTTCTATATACTAGCAACGAACAATTAGAAACTGAAATAAACAAAATAATATCCTTTATAATAGTTGCCTGCAATATGAAATACTTAAGTATAAATATAAAACAATGTATAAGACATAAGCTGAAAACTATAAAGCACTGATGAACTAAATCAAAGACAACTTAAATAAGTGCAGAGGCATATCACATTCTTGGATTTGAAGACTCACCAAATTCACGTATATATTTAAAGGAATTCCAATTAAAACCCACCAGGATTTTTTGTAGATATAGACAATATTATTCTAAAATGTATGTGGAAATAAAAATGAACTTAAATAGACAAAATAATTTTGAAAAAGAAGAATAAAATTAAAGGAATCACTACCCAATCTTAAGTCTTACCATAGAGCTACAGGATTCAAAACAGTGTGCTATTTCAAAAGAGATAGATACATAGGACAACTGAACAGAATACAGTCCAGAAATACATCCACACAAATACAGACAACTGATTTTTGACAAAGGCAATTCAATGGAGAAAGAAGAGTCTTTTCACCAAACTTTGTTGAAACAATTGAACATCCATATGCAAAAACAAAACAAAACACCTCACACTTCTAAAAGTATGAACTCAAAATGGAAGATCTGTTCTAAATGTAAAATGTAAAACTATATAATTCTTAGAAGAAAACAGGACAATATTATTGTGCCTGCAGTTAGGCAAAGAGTTCTTAGACATGACACCAAAAGCACGATCCATAAAAGTTATAAATTAATAAAAATTGAAAACTTTCGCTTTGCAAAAGACACTGTTAAAAGAATGTAAAGACAAACTACAGACTGGGGGAAAATATTTGCAAACCAGATATATGACAAAGGTCTAGCATGCAGAATATATAAAGAACTCTCGAAACTCAACAGTAAGTAATCAAACAACCCAGTTAAAAAATGGGCAAAAGACTGTTCATGAACAGACCATTCACCAAAAAGGATATATGGACGGTAAATAAGCACAAGAAAAAAAAAATGTTCGTCATTAGTCATTTGAGAAATTAAAATTATGATGAACTACCACTACATAGCTGTTAGAATGACTAATAGTAACAATAACAATACCAACAATAACAAGTGCTGGTAAGGAATGGAATAGTCACTCTGGAAAATGGTTTGGCAGAGTCTTATAAAGTTACAGTTAAACATATACTTACCATACGACCCAGAAATCCCATTGCTAGGCATTTACAGTAGGGAAATGAAAACTTATGTTCATACAAAAACCTGTACAGAAATGTTTATAGAAGCTCTATTCAAACCACCAAAAATTGGAAACAACTCAAATATCCTCTAAGGGTGAATGCATAAACAAACTGTGGTATAGCCACACAATGTATACTACTTGGCAATAAAAAGGAATGAATTATCCATACATGCAACATGCAACAATTTAGAACAATCTCAAAGGCGTTATGTTGAATGCAAAATGCCATTCTCAAAAGATTACATACTCTATGATTTCGTTTACATGCTATTCTCTAAGATATAACTATGACAGAGGATAGACTGGTAGTTTCCATGGATTAGGGATGAGTTTGGATGTGATTGCAAAGGGAAAGCATGAGAAATTTTGGGGGTGGTTCAACTGTTTTGATCCTGATTGTGATGTTGGCTACATAAATCTATACATGTGTTAAAAATTTGTGTAACTACCTACACACAGATGCAAAAGTGAGTTTTATTGTATGTTAATTTAAAAAATAAAACTGAAAAACCCAGAGTGTAAATATAGATGAAATTTTAAAAAATAAAACTAACTTATTTTCCTAACTTTTAGTTTCATTTCACAAGACAAAATCCCGGTTGAGCCCCTTTTTCACTATTAACGATGAAACATTGATTCTTGTTTTAAGTGGACCTACTTAAGTAGTCTTTTTCAGTATCCATTATCCTCCAATAAGCAAGACCTCCTTTACATTAAAATATACACTGAAACAAAACAAGAAAAAAGGGAAGCATATATGCCAGAGTGATAACTATAGCAAGTTGTTTCTGGTTAATGAGATCATAAGTGACATTTTCTAAATCTTCTAGGATGAGCTTATATAACTTTAATAATCAGTGGAAAAAAGGTAAAGAATCCTTTAAATCCAGGCCTAGTGATGTTTTCTAAAAGAAACTTTGAGGCTCCAGTCTATAAGCAGAGAGAAGATAAGCAGCTAGGAGGAGAGGAGGTAGGCAACACAAAAAAGATCAGATCTGCTGGTGGTATTTGTGAATGTAAGAAAACTGGCCATTTTTAGGAAGGGAGAGGCTAGCTCACCTGAGACTGTTTGAAAACATCCTTCCCAACCACATCCAGGTTTGAGGGGTCTTTGATGGAACTAACATACTCAGAAACAGCCTTGATTACCACATCACAGGGAGGAAGAACCAGCTGATGAGCTCTGACCTAGAAGAAGGAAGATAAGCCAGGCACACTGATATCAAAGATGGGTCACTAAGAAAAAGGGTGAGATAGGGGTGAGATACAGAATTCAAATTCAGTTAATTCACTGAGAGACAGTTAAAATCTTTTTAGTCTTCCCCCTAATTTTCAGTACAGAACACGTGGAACCAAGATTGAAAAGTATGAAGAAAGACAAAACCATAGCAGCAATTATCCCACTACAAAGATAACCACTGTTTTATGACACTGCCATAATTAACCAGTTTTCTTTCATGATACATTTTGGCTGCCTCCAAATTTTTGCTATTAAAGGTAATGTTGTAATGTGTGGACCATGTTTGGATCCTGATTTGAACTAACCACAAAAAGGCCTTTGTGAGACAATCAGGAAAATCTAAAAATGGACTAGATATAAGATGATATCAAGAAATTATCATTAATTTTGTTAGGAGTAATAATGGCATTGTGCTTATGTAAAAAAATATCTATATGTTTTAGAGATGCGTATCAAAGAACGTGAGAGTGAAATGACTTAAGGTCTGGCATTTGTTTTAAAATACATTAGTAACAGCAACAACAACAAAAAAAACCCAGCAAGTGTGGCCACATCTTAATAACTGTTGGATCTGGAAGATGTTATAGTGATGGTTGACTATATTATTATATTATTTTTTCTACTTTTGTGATGCTTGAAATTTTTTTAAGTAAGGGTTTTTTAAATGCTGTGATGAAATGTAGGTATGATTTGTTGTCCACCTTCCAATTATTTAATTACAAGCTTCCTAGAAGGGTAATTACTGAGTAAAAGGCTATAAACTTCTTAAAGGCTTTTTATATAAATTATTTAGCCAAATAATCATTCCTTCCTTCAACAAATATTTACTGCCTACTGTGTGCCAGGCACTGTCCTAGGCATCAGGGATACAGCAGTGAACAAGATAGACAAAACTCCCTGCCCTCAAGGAAGCTTAAATTCTAGTGTAGGTGTGTTGGGATGGGGTAAGGGGAGTCAAACAAACAGAATAAGTAAAACATATAGTGTGTGCTAGATGTAGATAAGTGCTATGGAGAAAATCTCAGCAGAGAAGGGAGTAGGGAATGCAACTGTGTGTGGGGCGGGGCATGTAATTTTAAACAGGGTGTCAGGAAAGGTCACTCTGAGAAAAGAACATTTGAGAGAACCTATAGGAGTGAGGAAATATCTATGTGGGAGGAAAATGCATTCCAAGTAGAGGGAATGGTGAGTGCAAATGTTCTATGAGCAAAAGAAAAGGGAAGATGAGATCAGAGCTGTACCAGAGGGCCAGACAGTACAGGGCTTTGTAGGCCATGGTAAAGATTAGGTGAGTGACATAAAGAGCCATTGGAGAATTTTGAAAAGAGAAGTGACATGATCAGAGTCAGGTTTTAAAATGACTCTGTCTGTTGTATTAGGAATAGATTTGGGGCCAGGGGCCAGAGCAAGAAAGAGTGCAAGCAGAAGAGCAACAGTTAGTAAAGTGTTATAATAATCCAGGCAAGAATGGTGGCTTGACCAAGGTAGTAGCTGTGAAAATGGTGAGAAGTGGATATATTCTGAAGGAAGAACTGATGGTATTTGCTGACAAGAGGAGATATGGAGCATGAGAAAGAGACAAGTCAAGGATGACTCCAAGGCTTTTAGGCTGAGCAACTGGAAGGATAAGGTTGCCATTAATGAAAATTAGTGAAGGTTGTGGAAGGAAGAGGTTTAGAGGAAAGATCAGGAGTTTCCATTTGGACATGTTTCTTTGAGATATTTAGTAGGCCATTAGATATTAGAAGCTGGAGTTCAAAGGGGAGGTCAAAGCTGGAGACATACATTTAGGACTCATCAATGGACAGATGGTATTTAAAATCACGAGACTAGATGAGATCAATCACCAAGGCAGCACGTCTGGATAGAAAAGAGAAGGGACTGAGGATAGAACTCTGGGACACTCCAAAGTTAAGGAATAGACAAGACAAGGAAGCAGCAAAGGAGACAGAAGCAGCAGCCAGTGAAGTAGGTAGGAAACTACAAGAGAGTGGTGTCCTTAAAGCCAAGTGAAGAACATGTTCTAAGAAAGAGAGAGTGAGCAACTGGGTCATATGCTGCTGACTGGTCAAGTAAGATGAAAACTGAGACCTGGCCATTGGATTTATTAACATCATGGTCATGGTGACTTTGTTGAGAGCAATTTCAGCAAAGCAAATTGAAGACAGAACACGGAAAGGGGATAGTAAACAGCTCAAGCCTAGACAACTCTCTAGAAGAGTCTTCTATAAGGGAAGAAGAAATATGGAGCAGTAGCTTGGGTGGAGGAAATGAAGTCAAGAGCAGGTTTTGTTTTATTTTTTAAGATGGCTGCATGCTTATGCATCTGATGGGAAAGATAAGAGAGGGAAACTGATGATGTGGGAGAAAGAAGGGAGAACTGCTGAAGTGATGCCTTTAAGTTATCAATGGGGGGGACTTCCCTGGTGGTGCAGTGGTTAAGAATCCACCTGCCAATGCAGGGGACAGGGGTTCAAGCCCTGGTCCGGGAAGATCCCACATGCTGCAGAGCAACTAAGCCCGTGCACCACAACTACTGAGCCTGTGCTCTAGAGTCCACGAGCCACAACTACTGAGCCCGTGTGCCACAGCTACTGAAGCCCACGTGCCTAGAGCCCATGCTCCGCAACAAGAGAAGCCACCGCAATGAGAAGCCTGTGCACCACAACGAAGAGTAGCCTCCACTTGCCGCAACTAGAGAAAGCCTGCACAGCAACGAAGACCCAAAAATAAATAAATAAATTTATATTAAAAAAAAAGAAGTTAGCAATGGGGGATGGATCCAGCATAAGAGTAGAGGGGTTGGCCTCAGACAGGAACATGGACAGGTCATCTGAGGCGGGCAAAGCATGCAGGTGAGAAGATGAAAGGGTGGGAACTGGTGTAAGTTCTCTTCCCATTGCTTCAATTTTCTCAGTGAAACAGGAAGCCAAGTCATGAGCTGAGAGTGAGCAGGGAGGAGGGAGCATTAGAGGCTTAAGGAGAGAGGAAAAGGTGTGAAATAGTCTAGGAGACTGAAAGAACTAGGGAAATATAATACCACCAACAACTTACACTACCTCCAGAAATGTATGAGAGCACCAGTCTCAACACAGCCTCAACAGGAGTGGGTAGACTAATTTTTCAATATTTGCTAAATGCTTAGGTTAAAAAAAAAGATCACACTGCTCATTTAATTTGCATCTCTGATCACCAGTGAGGTTTAACACCCACTCATATTATTGGCCACTCTAGTTCCTCTTTTGTGAATTGTCTGCTTCTGTCCTTTGCTCATTACATTTATTGGGGTATTAGTATTTTTCTTCATAGGTTCGTATGAATCCTTAAGATAATAAGGGTGTGAGATAATAGAAAATATACATTGTTCTCTGATCCCAGTTCCTGGCATAGAGCACCTAAAACCCTTGTAATTTCCTAAGTGGTAAGAGCACTAGGAGCATCTCTTCCTCTAATGAGGTGACTCTGGGTGGGCTCCTGGATGAGGGCTGGTCACTGGTAAGATCAAGCCATGATTAGAAGCTTGGAATTTTCAGCCCCACCCCCATTGTCTAGAGAAGGGAGAAGGGCTGAAAATGGAGTTAATGATCAATCATGCCTACATGATGAAGCCTCCATAAAATCCCAAAAGTACAGGTTTTGGACAGCTTCCAGGTTGGTGAACACATCCATGTACCAGGAGGGTGATGTACCCCAACTCCATGGGGACATAGGCCTCTGTGCTTGGAATCCTCCCAAACCTCACCCTATGTATCTCTTCATCTAGTTGTTCATCTCCATCCTTTATCATATCCTTTAATAAAGTGATATATGTAAGCAAGTATTTCCCTGAGCTCTATGAGGTGCTTTAACAAATTAATTGAACCTGAGAAGGGGGTCACTGGAACCTCTAATCTATAGTTAGTTGGGTGGTCGGAAGCACAGGTGATAACCTGGGCTTGTGAATGGTGTCTGAAGTTGGGGGGAAGTCTTGTGGAACTGAGCCATTAACTTGTGTGATCTGACACTATCTTCAGGTAGTTGGTGTTAGGATTGAGTTAAATTGTAGGACACCCAGCTGGTGTCACAGAAAACTGTTTTGTGCAGGGAAAAACCCCCACATGTTTAGTGACCAGAAGTGTCAGAAGTGAAGTGTTCTGTGTGAGTGCGGTAGTAGTATGGGAGTAAAGGAGAAACACAGGAAAGAAAGACATAGGAGGGAATAACTGGATTTTTCCCCACACATTAGGTAGAAAACTGAGTTTTTCCTTTTTAAAGGTATTGATCATAATTATAAAGTTTTTGTCTATAAGTGTCTGAAATATTTTAAGCCTAGTGAAAGATATTTATTCTACCAAAACTCCAATCAAAACCTGATGTACAGGCAGGAAATGGGTCACGTTACCTTAAGTGATGCAAGGGGATGTTCTGGTCCCAAGAGGCTCCAGTGAAAAGCGGCCAGGTCCTCATCTGGGAGAATGTGGTTACCTATAAAGTATATTTGTCATTTATTGACTGTTTTCTTAGAAAACAAATGTTTTCTTAGAACCTCCAGGCCATGAAAGGACTTCTGGGAGAGAAAACAATCAAATAATTCACATAGGTCTATATTCTTAATGTAACAACTACAGTAACTATGTTTGATTACCTACTATGTTTCACATGCATTATGTATATCATCTTTATAATAACTGTGTAAATATTATTACCTCCAGTTTATAGATAAGGAAACTGAGGTTTGAGCAAGTCTGGTGACTTTGCCCAAGGGGCCACATCTAATAAGTGCCCACACCAGGATAAGAAGCTAGGAATGTTTGACTCCAAAGTCCATGCTATTTTCTATCACCCAGTCATGCTGCCTTTTATAATAACAGCCACCAATTACTCACTGCCTACTAAGTGCTAGGTATTTTATATATCTTATTTCATTTAACCTTATCAATAGCACTGTGAAGTATTATTATTCCATTTCACAGATGAGGAAACTGAAACCAGGAAGGTGTAACTTCAGTGATTTGTCCAAGGCCTAATTCCAAAACTTGTGCTGACTCCACTAGATTATCCAAGCTCAAATCCTTTGGGATTATAAACAGAGGTCACACCTGAGACAAGATATTAACCTTCATGCTGTCAGTACTTGGAAAACCAACTCGAAACATAATCAACACTCTGCAATTTACTTTGAAATACTCCTTTAAAAAAAAGATTGATGATGGATAGAATGGACAGATATATGATAAAGCAAGTATAGTAAAATGTTAATGGCAGAATAGAGGTGGTAGATATAGGATTTTCACAGCAAAATTCTTGAAATTTTGCTGTACTTGGGAATTTTCATAATAAAATGTTAGCACAACAGAAAAAAAAAGAAAAAGATACAGAATGATTTGTGTTCTTGACCTAAATTTAGACAGTGAGTAAGATGCTAATGCTCTGAGTGAGAAACCAAAGTTGTCTAGGGCTAGTAAGATATTTGGCCTAAGATGGTACTCTGCATAAAATACTTATAGAATGTAACAAAAGAAAAAGTTTTATAAGAACCCAAATAATGTTCTGGAATATCCTGTATTAATTTATAAGACAAACATGCTGAGTTTCTAGTAAGAAGCCCAAAAGCACAGTGTTTGGCATGCAGACTTTGAGAAGATAAATCCAACAATGATAACCTAAATCACTCTAATCTTCATCTCTTAACACTGCAAGAGGAAACTTTAACAATCACTGGAGTCTGTTCTTTGGACCACCTACCTAGCAATGCAGCAAATATGGGAAAATTCATCCGCTTCAGGCCCAGCTGCTTGGCCACCTCCTGCATCAGGAACTGGTTGGTAGTAAGGTTTTTCCCATTCCAGCTCAGCTTCAGAGCATGGGAACTATAGTAAGAGGGAATATTGTAGAGAGCATACTCGGAGTCATGGGCAAGAAGGCCATGGAAGCCATTTTCCCTGAAAAAAGCCACCACTTCCAAATGGTGGTCTTCAAGGCTCTGAAAGACCTAGGAGGGAAGAAGAGAAGAACACATCATGCAACAGAAGCTGACCTGTATTTGGTTAGAAATCAGGAAGGTTAGTAACTGAATTTTATATTTTGTTGAAATTTAAGATTATATGAGGCTGAACAAAATAGCCTTAAAAAAAAAAGCCTCTCCTACCCTAAAACTTGATTATTCCTGTAAACACAGGCAGCATTATCCATGTGTTCATTCAAATGTCCACTCTTTTTTGACTCCTTGCATGAAACTATGGCCTGAAGTTCTTTAAAAGAATACTGAAATTAACATGGTTTATATTATTGAAGTTTTTACTTTAAACAATAACAGGAGAACTTTGTTAGAAAGATAATAAAGCTATTATATATTGCTCAGCACCATATGTGCTTTACATACATTATCTATATACCATATGTGCTTTACATACATTAACTCATCATCAGAACAACCATGGACAAAGTAGATATGGATGAAAAAACTTACAAGTGGAGGGACTTCCCTGGTGGTGCAGTGGTTAAGAATGCGCCTGCCAATGCAGGGGACCCGGGTTCGAGCCCTGGTCCGGGAAGATCCCACATACCGCAGAGCAACTGAGCCCGCGTGCCACAACTACTGAAGCCTGCATGCCTAGAGCCTGTGCTCCACAACGAGAAGCCACTGCAATTAGAAGCCCACGCACCACAACGAAGAGTAGACCCGCTCGCCGCAACTAGAGAAAGCCTGTGCACAGCAACGAAGACCCAAAGCAGCCAATAAATAAATAAATATAAAATAATAATAATAATTTAAAAAAAAACTTACAAGTGGAAATAGACACAGAAAGGTTAAATGACATATAGCTAGAATCTGAATCTAAGTTCATCTCTTAAAAAAAAAAAAAATCCCTGCTTTCTCTCTTAGGAGCACCTTAGACCGCAGGGCACCCAAATAGGGAGGGTATTTCCAAAAGTTAGAAGTCAGAAACTTCACCCTATTTTAGAAATGGAAAAACTAAGGCTGCGAGAGGTTGGCTTCCCCTAAAGTTGCATACTGAGTAAGTATATACAGGATTCAAACCCAAGCTGATCTGACTCCAGAATGCACACTTTCCATTGTACCAAACTTCTTCCTAGAGAGCACTATTTTTAATGTAATAGAGGCAGACTGTTAAGTGCCCCTCCTGTGCACGTGTCTATTGCTGTACATAAAGCATACTGAAATGGTCTGCATACTGGTTCTGCCACAGTAAGTTCCTTGACTGCAGAAACTTTATTAATAATCTCTGTATTCCTGGCTCCCACATAAGATCTGGTACATAGTAATAAGAATAATAATTACTAACAGATACTGAGCATGTACTATGTGCTAAGCAAGGTTCCAATTACTTTACATGCACTAACTCATTTAATACTCAAAACAATCTTATGAGGCCATAACAATTATTATTATCCCCATTTTACATTACATCCCTAGGTCACGTAGCTGGAAGGAGCAAAGTTTGGATTTTTGTCTCTAGAGCTTGCAGACCTTGATAGTTTTGTTGAACTCAACTGACCTATTTTTTTCATTTAAGTTTTAAAGGAATGGTAGTTTTCTGGAGTCTGACAGGAGTTTCAACACATTAAGCTTTTTCTAAGCTATGGAAAGAGAGTCTAGTCACAGTAGATAGCCATGTCACACATTAAGTCACAACCGGGGGAGGGACACTGGTAAGCAGATAGCAAAGTAAGGTCTGTATTTATTTGATATCCAGGCAAAGGAAGCAAAAATCCTTACTTTGCACTGCAACATATTTATGTCTAGAGTTATGATTAACTCCAGATAGTTCAGGGTAGGAGTACAGTTTTATGCTGTCCCCTGGTGACAGTTTCTTCCAGCATATACCTCTCATACCAGTCACTGATTGGGCATCCATCTACCTTGTACCAGGCATAGTACTAAGTGTGATATGTTCTCTCTCATCATCACAGCCTGACCATGTGGGCATTATAAGCCTCACTGTTCTGATGAGGAAACTGAGGCTCAGAGAAGTGATGTGGCATGTTTAGGGCTACAGAGCTGGGAAACAGGAACCTAGGTCAGACTGACACCAAGGTCTATGCTCTTTCTGCTACAACACATTACCTTTAGCTGGTCTGAAGCTGATTATGCCACCATCCAAGTGATTTCAACTCCAGAAAGCCAAGGACTAGTGATCTTTAACAAATCGAATGGCTCTTATAACACTAGGAATATAAATCACAATCATGTGGAAAGCATTTTCAAAATATAAAAACCTGTGTCTCACCTCAGATCTGCTGAAACAATTTCCTGAGTGTGATCAAAATGCCTATATTCCAAAATAGCTTCCAGTAGGTTCTGATGCACACTCCCAATTAAGAATCATTGACCTATCCCAATTACTCATTTTTTAAAAAGTTTTAGCTTTATTGAGATATAATTGACAAATAGAATTATAAGACATTTAAAGTGTACAACAAGGTGATTTGATATACATATGCCCAATTACTCATTTTACTGCTTAAGCAACTAGCCCCCTAGAAATGACAGATGACTTGACATGGTTATCTACTTAATCTGCAGCAGAACCAAGATTAGAACAAAAATCTCATGATTCCAGATATAAAACTTCTTTCACTACATATTCTGGGGTAAGTAATGGAAAACAATAGAATAAGAATCTCACAAATAATTCCTCACAATTCCCCAACACCCTACTCCTACCAGGCTAGTTTCCTAACTACCCTTCTCCATGATTACTGTTTCCTTTTCTCTGATCACTTGGTTTCCCTGCCTAGACTGCCATATTGCTTGTCTTTCCCAACGTTCCAAATACTTTCCATAGGGCTACCACCTCTTACATAAATTCTTTCATTATTTCTCTCCTCTTAACTGTTATAGCACTGAGACAGCTGACACAGTCAAGGAAGTAATTTGACAATACCATCATCTGCAAGTTTTAAGGCCATAGATTCCTTCTGCCTCTTGTGTGTATCTTCCATGGTCCTAACCAGCACTAGAAAGGACACAGAGCTAGAGTTGACAGAATAGCAAAGAAAGGCCTACAGAGGCTGTAAAAAAGGAAAGCAGCCCTGGCAAATGAAAGGGCACCATCATCTCAGTATTTGACTTCAACAACTGATGTACAAAATTCACTGGGAAAAGTCTGCCTGGATTGCAGCTTACTTAGAGCTCAAGTAGCAAAGTAATATTAGGTATCAACCGAGTACCTACTATATACCAGGCACTGTTCCAAGTACACCTCATGTCCATTAACCTTGCAATAACATCATGATGCATTATTACCTCCCTTTTACAGATGATGGAACAACGAGGCTCAGAGGTTGAAGAACTTGACCAATGTCACACAGCTAAAAAGTGAAGCTAGCCAATAAGCACGTGAAAAGATGTTCAACATCATTAGTTATTAGAGAAATGCCAATCAAAAAACCACAATGAGAAAACCAATTAACACATACTAGGATGGGCTATAATTTTTAAAATGTAAAATAACGAGGGTATGGAGAAACTGGAATCCTCCATACATTGCTGGTGGAAATGTAAAATTGTGCAGCCACTTTGGAAAACAGTCTAGGAGTTCTTCAAGCAGTTAACAAAGGGTTATTATATGATCCAGTAATTCCACTCATAGGTATACACCCAAGAGGACTGAAAACATGTTCACACAAAAACTTATACATGGGGCTTCCCTGGTGGCGCAGTGGTTGAGAGTCCACCTGCCGATGCAGGGGACACAGGTTTGTGCCCTGGTCCAGGAAGATCCCACATGTCACGGAGCAGCTGGGCCCGTGAGCCATGGCCACTGAGCCTGCACGTTCGGAGCCTGTGCTTCACAACGGGAGAGGCCACAACAGTGAGAGGCCCACGTACCGCAAAAACAAACAAACAAACAAAAAACTTATACATGAATGTTCATAGCAGGATTATTCGTAACAGTCAAAAGTGGAAAAAACCCAAATGTCCATCAACTAACAAACAGATAAACAAAAGATAGTATATTCATACAAGGGAATGTTATTCAACCATAAAAAGGAACGAAGTACTGATTCATGCTACAACATGAATTAATCTTGAAAAAATTATAAAGTGAAAGCAGCCAAACACACTTTTAAATGAATTATACAGAACAGGAAAATACATAAAGATGGGAAACAGCCAGGGACTTGGAGGAAGAAAGATTGGAGAATGACTGCTAGCAGGTACTGGGTTTCCTTTTGGAGTGATAAAAATGTTCTGGAATTTGATAGTGGTTATAGTTTCACAATTCTGTGGAATAGACTAAATACCACTTAATTGTATACTTTAAAATGGCAAATTTTATGGTATTTGAATTATATCTCAATTTTTAAAAACTGGAGTTAGGATTCAAATTCTGCCCACAAAGCCCATGCTAACTCATTTTAAAAACTTTTGATTATGGAAAATTGTAAATTAAAAAGGTAAAGAGAATAGCATAATGAACCTTCATAATACCAGTATCCAGTTTCATATATCAACGTTAAGTCATTCTTGTTTCATCTACTTTATTTTAGCTTTTTTTAATATAAGTTTTTTACTATGATATAAAAATTACATAACATAAAATTTATCACCTTAACCACTTTTCAAAGTGTATACTTCAGTAGCGTCAAGGATACACACTTTGAGACAGATCTCCAGAACTTTTTCATCTTACAAATCCGAAACTTTATACCCATTAAACAATTCCTATTTCCACCTCCCTCAGCCCCTAGCAACCACTATTCTACTTTCTGAAATCGAAACAGTGATTAAAAATCTTCCAACAAATGAAAGCCCAGGACCAGATGGCTTCACAGGCGAATTCTAACAAACATTTAGATAAGAGCTAACATCTATCTTTCTCAAACTCTTCCAAAATACAGCAGAGGGAGGAATACTCCCAAACTCATTCTATGAGGCCACCATCACCCTGATACCAAATCAGACAAAGATGTCAAAAAAAACTAAAGGCCAATATCACTGATGAACATAGATGCAAAAATCCT